TCAAACTCTCTCGTAATACACAGGAACACAACTGGCCATAACTTTACTAGTGCAAAAAAGAAAGAAAAAGCATAATTCTTTACGGTGAAAGTACTTAAAGTGCTTAATAATAATATTACCAGCTATAAACACACGTCAGAAACTTTGTATTACATCGCCAACCTTTACTGAATCCATTCTTGAAGAATCTAATGTATGTTTATCTAAAACAAACGGTATATACGTAAAAGCGCTCCGAAATAAACACGTGAAAAAACAACTAATATAATATCGACTTGACGCACACACACACTTACGTATATATATTATCCTCTTATTCCCACATAGAAAAACTAGAATTTTTATACATATATCAGTCAATTATGTGCTTTCGATACATGACTGACAAGGTAGATTTTTCCCGCAGTAGGTTGCCATTTCTTTCTGCGGTAGACCAGTTGCCATCCAAGGCTATAGAACCCGGTCTATCCTGCTATTTACCCATAGCTGAAGGGAGAAGAAGAGGATTCATACCTTTCCCCAAGTGTATTAGCACGTAAGTGACTGCAATGGATTCAACTAGAATTCGTCTGAATTAGGGAGGCACGGTTTGGATTGAGGAATCGGAGAACCGAGTTCGAATTCCAGTCGAATCCATTACATTAACTTATGTGCTAACACCCTTGGGAAAGGTGTGAATCCTCTTCTTCTCCCTTCAGCTATGGGTAAATAGCAGGACAGACTGGGTTCTTGTATGTCGACCGAATAATAGCAAATATTCAAAAAACATCTTTCGGTCGACATACAAGTAATTCGTCTCCAAGTTTTTGATTTTATAAGGAAAAAAAAACACATGCCTGATGATGAATAGAGGACTATTCATAAGTACTAGCATTTTAACATCAAATAAACTGAAAACTACAGACATCAAGTTTATCGACGAGGATCATTCGCACTATGGATTAACAGTATTTTAATGCATATATTATGTTTCTAGCGATGGATGTCGCCAATAATCGCATTAATACTTCTAATTGATTCTATGTGTGATTATTTCTTTGTATATATATATATATATATATATATATATATATATATATTTTAACCCTTCTCCCTGAGCTCCTGGGTAAAAATTCGCAAATAAGCCTTATGTATTGTTTCACGGTAGATATAAAAATAGTTACTGGGCATTACATCATTTTTCTTTACCACCGGTAAACCGGTGGTCAGGTTTCAAAGTGTTAAACAGTCCATGTTTTTTCTTCCGCCGGCCTGAACATTCGAAAAATCTTATTTGAGAATAATATGCGTTCTCTCCGGCGGGATTCGAATCTGCATTCCCCACAGGGATGCCGTCATTAGATCTCACGTGCTTTGACCTCTCGGCTACAGAATGCATCGATGACCAATTCAGGTTGCTTTGGCCATTGACGCACTCTGTAGCCGAATGATAAGATAAAGAAAAAATAGGAAATGCTTATCAATCTAACATGTTTCACTTTTATTAAAGCTTCATCAGAGAATGAGATATGCAGGGAGTAAAAGAAGAAAAAAATTCAGGTATTTTTTTACATTTGTGTTGTGTCGAAGAGACGCGTTGCTCCTCCTTGAATTCGGAACGCAATAAATTATGTTAACGTTTGTTTAACAAGTCGGATGCAAGTGAAACATAACCAAAATTAAGCAACATAAGAGTAAGAATACCAGAATTTATTTCTACATTTTTCTCCATATCTGATGAAGCTTTAATAACAGGTAGATATAAATAAACTTAGATAGATAGATAGATAGATAGATAGATAGATAGATAGATAGATAGATAGATAATGAACAGACGGAGATAGATAGATAGATAGATAGATAGATAGATAGATAGATAGATAATGAACAGACGGAGATAGATTGATAGAAAGATAGATAGATAGATAGATAATGAACAGACGGAGATAGATAGATAGATAGATAGATAGATAGATAGATAGATAGATAGATAATGAACAGACATAGATAGATAGATAGACAGATAGATAGATAGATAATGAACAGACGGAGATAGATAGATAGATAGATAGATAGATAATGAACAGACGGAGATAGATTGATAGAAAGATAGATAGATAGATAGATAATGAACAGACGGAGATAGATAGATAGATAGATAGATAGATAGATAGATAGATAGATAGATAGATAATGAATAGACATAGATAGATAGATAAATAGACAGATAGATAGATAATGAACAGACGGAGATAGATAGATAGATAGATAGATAGATAGATAGATAGATAGATAGATAGATAATGAACAGACGGAGATAGATTGATAGAAAGATAGATAGATAGATAATGAACAGACATAGATAGATAGATAGATAGATAGATAGATAGATAGATAGATAGATAGATAGATAGATAATGAACAGACGGAGATAGATAGATAGAAAGATAGATAGATAGATAGATAGATAGATAGATAGATAATGAACAGACGGAGATAGATAGATAGATAGATAGATAGATAGATAGATAGATAGATCGATCGATCGATCTCTCTAAATTTCTGAGATGTGCTACTGTAACTATTTACTCTATTTACATTGTTCGGACTGTTGTCCTTATCTTTACTGTCATATCCACGACGTTTCGGCCGTTGTACATTCCAAGGACACATCGCTCAGTGGATAAAAGCGTTGGTTGAAGTAATTCAAAAATGATTTAAGTGTTGAACCAATGTGTTGTGAGTTCAATACCTGGACACAGCAGAGGTGAACAAAAACTGGGAGAGTTGAGTTACTAAAGGGAATTAACTAAAACTGAGATATCCAGAAAAAGGCATGGCATGTGAAACTAGAACAATCTACCCCGGTGGACTAAATAAAGGGCTTGGTTCGATAATCCATCGTATATCACCTGAAGAAGGCCGGAGCGTACAACGGTCGAAACGTCGTGGATATGACTATAAAGATAACAACAGTTCGAACAATGTAAATAGTATAGATATCTATCTATACTATTTACATAGATAGATAGATAGATAGCTAGATAGATAGATAGTGATTGAAGGAGGGAGGGAGTAAGAGATAGATGTTAATAGAGATAGATAGATAGATAGATAGATAGATAGATAGATAGATAGATAGATAGATAGATAGTGATTGAGGGAGGGAGGGAGTAAGAGATAGATGTTAAGATAGATAGATAGATAGATAGATAAGGAACAGACGGAGATAGATAGATAGATAGATAGATAGATAGATAGATAGATAGATAGATAGATAGATAGTGATTGAGGGAGGGAGTAAGAGATAGATGTTAATAGATAGATAGATAGATAGATAGATAGATAGATAGATAGATAGATAGATAGATAGATAATCAGACTAAAACAAATAGGGAGATTGATATGAAATAAGTGAAACAAAATGGTCGGTTGCTCGTATCAAGCACACATGTCTAGTATGTCGGCTAACTAATACCCGTTGCAGACACCTGCTTAGGCCCTTCTGTAGCTATGATGAGCGGACCTTAGTTGCAGTTTCTGGGTAGTGCACATAATTTGATATGATCAGCATTTTGAACAATGTCAGCACGCTCAAGCTCTCGGTCACGATGACTTGTGACTTCGTGCTAGCACAATCAGCGACAGGTTCAGAAAGGTTCTGTCTAGCCAGTTTCAGTCACTAAGCTTTCAGGTACTTTCAAAATGTACTTCACACTGGATCGTGTCCCCAAGTCAATGGCATCATAAAGTCAGCTTCCTAACAACTCGATCCTGATGAGATTCGAACCCGGGACTCAGGGTAGGAAAGTGAAAGTCATAACCACTCGATGGGAATATGTATGAATTATTTACTAAGCCGAGTCTTGCACAAAACCAAAGGAGAGACAGAAAAATTCCTTTGTGCCGAAATTCCAAGTGAGGGTAGAATTCTCGCATTTAAAATCAGCCTCCGATGTCTTAACCTTTACCAGGGCCCGAACATCGACAAATGTCGATTTGGAAAAAAAAAAAGCAAAAAAAAAAAAAGCAACAATCTGATATATAAATATATCATCCAGTGCATAGATAGATAAAAGCGTGTATATTTGTAAATAAAGGTAAAAATACATGAAGAATATTCCAGCATCCGTCGCTCAAACCATAAAGAAATGCAATAAGTAGTAAAAAAAAGGTATGCCAAACCCCAGACATCGACTCTTGCCGAATTAATAGACGTGTTCGTTCAACGACCGCATCTGTGATTACGTCGCTTTTAAAATATAAACAGCATTTGCTTGTACGGGGAGACGGACAAAAGGAGAGACAACTGACATAGCACTATAAATATACACGTTTTCAACAAGGTCCTCAAGATACAAAGAAAGACAGTGTCTGACACGAAACTATTAAAACACACTGCAAGATATACAATAAAAAAAAACGGAAAGAAACATTTGTTAATACAGTGGGTGAGGAACACCAATTACATGTTTTGATAAATACTATTTTCTTACTTTACTTACAAGGTAAACGTCTAAAAAGAAGGCCCACTAGTATATATCGTTTAGAAACGAAAGATAGAAATCAAAAAGATTGCTTTTATTCTTTCGCTTTGATCTCCACGCGATATTCAGAATCAGACCCCTGAAAATTGTTCAAAGCTTTTAACCTGTGATTTAGACAAGGGATTCGGGCTGTGATTTATGTTGAGGGGGGTGGGGGCTGATGAGCGGGTGGTCGTAAGAAAGAGAATGAAACGATCAGAGGAACATTAAATCTATTCTATCGCTTTGTATGTCAAAATTATATCAATTACATCCATCGGAACCCCAAACATTCTAGCGAGTTTTGCTACCGCTGCTGCTGAGGCTGCTGCTACTGCTATCGTATTACTCAATTATCGCAATTCGTGACACCAAAAGAATGGGAATATATATATATTTTTTTTGCCATCTTTAGAGATTGGTAGTTCCTGTTCTTTCGATATTCGATTAAAAGTTCTAGCGGCATTTTATCGACAGCATCGCAGCCCGTTAAACCATACGATGTTGAAACACCGGTTCCCGTACGTATCACCGAAGTTAAGCAACGTCGAGTCTGGTCAGTACCTAGATGAGTGACCATTTGAGAATATTAGATGCTGTAAACTTGGATGTGCGGGTGGTGCAGTGGATGATGGCTCGGAATTGTTAATCGGAGAGCCGAGCTCCAATTCCAGATGAATTCGTTATATTCACTTGGGAAAGGTATGAAGACACCTCCTCTCCGCCAGCTATGGGTTAATTAGCAGAAATTGTACAACTAAAACAATTATTATCTCCAAAAATAGAATAAAATTACGTACAAAATATTTAAATTTCGACATTAAATGATCCATAGAGGTTGATATGCCACGAAACAACTTTCTTTCTTTCTATGTGCCATGTCTTTTCAGGGCGTAGGCGATCATGGCTCTCCACCTCCCTTTGTCCTTTGCAGCTCTCAACAAGTTCCTTCCCCCTGCCACCTCCCCCAGACCACGTTCTGTCATTCACTTGCTTAAGGCCGCTAGGTATGTCATGCGTTGTTTTCCCTTGTCTCGCTTTCCTTCTACTCGACCAGTGAGTATCAGATTCTCTAGGCTCTCCTTCCTCATTATGTGTCCCGGGAACTTCAGTTGCCTCTTCCTGATGTTAAGCATAAGCTTCCTCCTTGTTTGCAACCTCTCTAAGATTCCATCGTTGCTCAAACGCTAGGTCCATGATATCCTTAGCATCCTTCTGTAGAACCACATATCCGTCGCCTCGAGTCTCTTCTTCATCTTTGAGGAAATCGTCCAACATTTGCCGTTGTAAAGGACAGATGTCACGTAACAGTTCCGTATTGTTTTCTTTGTTACCAAAGATATCTCGCAATACTTTGCTCAGCTTTTGGAATGCGTCCTTGTCTATTCCTATACATCTTTGGATCTCAGTGTCGCATTTACCGTTCTCTGTCAGAACGCTTCCAAGATATTTAAACTGCCGAGTCTGCTTGATTCTCGAACCAAACCAAACTAAAACTAAATAAATGCATCATAAATCTTGTTGACATTATAAAATCTTACATTTCATTTACTGTTGAATCAGAAATAATTTTAAAGGCCATTCGACTATGATTAATTCCAACTGGTCTTAAAAAAGAAAAAAGGTTTTACTAACGATTCATATAGTTTATAATAAAAACACGAATTCTCCAAAGTTAAATGGTTTAATATACAGTGTAACCCGGATATAAGAGACCCGGATATAAGAGAAACCCGGATATAAGAGAGATTGTCACTGGTCCCAAATTAGAGCCTGTGTTACCTAAACAAAATAGACCAAACCCGGATATAAGAGAAACCCGGATATAAGAGACTTCTCCGGTCCCGACAACTCTCTTATATCCGGGTTACACTGTATATATAATATGATAACAACAAGTTGAAGTTTATGAAGCATTATTAAACTAAAGCAGCTTTATGTAATATGATAACAATACCAAGTTGAAGTATTATTAGACTGAAGCAGCTTTAATGCTGAAAATCGTTATATTTATTATAATGGATAGTTACAAGCAAGAGGGAAGATGGGCTATGCTTATTTATTACCACAATGTAGTTTATAGAATCGTTCTTTACGGGTCTCTTTTTGAAAAGAAAAACGTTTAATAGAGTTTACAGGAAGCTTTTCTCCATTTCTGTTAGAAGAGAAAAAAAAACATGAAAGTGTTAAACACTTATAGAGAGTTTATAGAATGTTCCTCAAGTAGAAATAATAAAACGTGTGTTTAATAGAGTTTATAGAATGCTTCTCTTGAGTCTTTCTGTTAGAAGATATAAAACGTTGGCTTAATAATGCTTATAGAATTCTCCTCTGTAGATCCGGTGTTTGGATTTTTTAAAAATTGTCTTTAATATAGTTTATAGTATGCTCCTCAAGAGTTCCTCTGTAAATATGTGATAAAATGTGGGCTTAACAGAATTTATAGAATGATCTTATTCCTATTCTCTAATTCTCTAGAGACAAAAGTTTAAAGTTTAATGTATTTATAAAATCGTCCTTTAAGAGTCTCTGTTATATAACTCAACACTGCCAGTTGAACACTGTCGACTGAACATCGCCTACTGCGGACAACTCTGATACGGGAAGAGACAACTCAACACTGCCAGTTGAACACTGTCGACTGAACATCGCCTACTGCGGACAACTCTGATACGGGAAGAGACAACTCAACACTGCCAGTTGAACACTGTCAACTGAACATCGCCGACTGCGGACAAATCTGATACGGGAAAAGACAACTCAACACTGCCAGATGAACACTGTCAACTGAACATCGCCGACTGCGGACAACTCTGATACGGGAAGAGACAACTCAACACTGCCAGTTGAACACTGTCAACTGAACATCGCCGACTGCGGACAACTCTGATACGGGAAGAGACAACTCGACACTGCCAGTTGAACACTGTCGACTGAACATCGCCGACTGCGGACAACTCTGATACGGGAAGAGACAACTCAACACTGCCAGTTGAACACTGTCAACTGAATATCGCCGACTGCGGACAAATCTGATACGGGAAGAGACAACTCAACACTGCCAGTTGAACACTGTCGACTGAACATCGCCGACTGAGGACAACTCTGATACGGGAAGAGACAACTCAACACTGCCAGTTGAACACTGTCGACTGAACATCGCCTACTGCGGACAACTCTGATACGGGAAGAGACAACTCAACACTGCCAGTTGAACACTGTCGACTGAACATCGCCTACTGCGGACAACTCTGATACGGGAAGAGACAACTCAACACTGCCAGTTGAACACTGTCAACTGAACATCGCCGACTGCGGACAAATCTGATACGGGAAGAGACAACTCAACACTGCCAGTTGAACACTGTCGACTGAACATCGCCGACTGCGGACAACTCTGATACGGGAAGAGACAACTCAACACTGCCAGTTGAACACTGTCGACTGAACATCGCCTACTGCGGACAACTCTTATACGGGAAGAGACAATTCAACACTGCCAGTTGAACACTGTCGACTGAACATCGCCGACTGCGGACAACTCTGATACGGGAAGAGACAACTCAACACTGCCAGTTGAACACTGTCAACTGAACATCGCCGACTGGGGACAACTCTGATACGGGAAGAGACAATTCAACACTGCCAGTTGAACACTTTCGACTGAACATCGCCGACTGCGGACAACTCTGATACGGAAGAGACAACTCAACACTGCCAGTTGAACACTGTCGACTGAACATCGCCGACTGCGGACAACTCTGATACGGGAAGAGACAATTCAACACTGCCAGTTGAACACTGTCAACTGAACATCGCCGACTGCGGACAACTCTGATACGGGAAGAGACAACTCAACACTGCCAGTTGAACACTGTCAACTAAACATCGCCGACTGAACTTCGCCGACTGGTGTTTTTTTACTGATTATTCTCGCGATATAAGACCCAAGTGAAACTCAAGTTAGAAGGTTACTAAGTGAGAGTGTTGTAAGTAAAGAGTGGGGGAGGAATTAATAAATGCATATTACAAGGGCTTGTGGGATAGATATTGGTTGAACATGGACGTTCCTGAAAGTTACACCCAGACATCCTCCTCCTCAGAACTGTTGCTTTTAAGGAAAAATACAATTATTGATCTCTTTAGATGAACAATTGTAATTTTCAAGGAAACATCCACTCTAAAGAGATAAATAATTTTTGTTTTCAGGGAAGCATCCACTCGGGAGTCTATTCAAGAAAGCAACAGTTCTAGGGAAGAAGCTGTCTGAATGGAACTTGCTCCTTATTAAAGCAACACGAAGAGAATGGATATGGTTTGCCACGGTGAACATGGCATGCTAGGTCCTAGCTCTGAAGGTCTGAGATGGGAGAGATAAGTAATGTAACCTGTCTGAACATGTTCCATCGTAATAGAGATAGAATAGTAAGAAGCTAGAAAATTTTCGTCTGCGGTATAAGAGAAGCAGGGTGGAGAACAATCCATCACTAACAGGGCCGCGAACAATTCATCACTAACAGGGCCGCGTAAGCTCTTTTGAATTCTATCCAGGCTGGACAGTGAGAATTGGACAACACCGGTTGATGATATAGCAATAATATTCCATTCTTAGAGTTCAGAGAATGCTCCTCTACAGTTTTTAATGGTTTAGTATAGTTTATATAGTCTACAATGGATGTGTATTGTGGTGTAATGGTTATCGTCTCGGAGTGAGCATTCGGAGAGCCGAGTTCGAATTTCACTTACGCACAAATACCCTTGAAAGAGGTATAAATCCATCTCTTCTCTCCCCACACCGGCTATGGATGGAATAGCTGAACAGACCATGCTTTTAAGCGTTGGATAGCAGCCAGTCTACAGCAGAAAGAAATGGCAACCTACTGCGGGAAAAAAATATGCCTCATATCAAAAAGTACTGTTCCTTTATCATCACTTATGTTTACAGAACCAAATGTTGTTTAGTATTAATACATTTTATAGAAGTTTCAGGAAAGTGCCTGAAAATCAAACTACGGGTTAACAGTACGATATCATTCTTTGTTAATATAGACCGGCAGCCGGAAATGTCCGGCTTGTTGTCGCTTGACCTCGAGCGCATTCATTTTCTTATTTGTTCTTTTGCTCTACGTCGGTCAAGTTGATGCTGCTTGACATAAATCCGCCGGCTATGACACAACCACTTAAAATCGAGTTAAAATCACAGCTTCCTCTTCCATACGGATGTCCCAATAATAGTATCACATTATGACGTTTGATTCTTCTTGAATGTTTTCGACGGTGAAAAACTTATGTGCTGCCGCTGCATAGATTGCTATTTGGTCTCGAAATCATAGTGGCGTGACCACATTTCATTGAAAGTGAAATGTTTTTGCAAATGCTTTTCCCGACGTCCCTGGAAACGCTATAAGCTTGAAGATATTCAGTCGATAGAGTTTCTGGTCGGCCTTCAAAGTTTTTGATACCGATTTGATTAACAGCCTTTCTGTACCCAATTGCCAATGAATTATAGGTTCAAATAGTCCCTTGGATTTCACTGCAAATCAGATGACAAGAGATCCGTCGATGTTCAACAATTTCAAGAGTTAACGAAGTTGAAGTCTTA